AGGTGCCCGGTGCCCCCTCACCTCTGTGAACGCTTGTTACAGAGAACGCTGTGGTTTCTAGGTGCACGGTGCCCCCTTACCTCTGGCCGAACAGTTAAGGCAGCGTTAAATGCATCTATTGCTCTGTTAAATTCTCCACTCAGGTGGAACAGGACCCCTAGCCCTGTCTGTAGGTCTGGGTCGATCATATCTCCATTTTGGTGGGCAGCTTCCAGATACAATTCCTTCACTCCTTCCAGAACAGAGCTACGAGAGGAAAAACAATTAGATTTGTAATCCCAACAGTCAGAACATAAATGATTTACTGTTAAATCTCTTGACTCTATTTCAAGAAATCTCTTCATTACAGACTGGAAAATTTTGCTTAAAATAACTTAATGAGAGGATTATTCATGCTGAGTGTTTTAAAATATGGCTGATTTTCATGAAGTAGGTTGTTGAACACAGATACAGACTGCTGAGTAAGGTCTTCACGAGGAGAGCTCTGCTCACTATGAGCACCAATGTGGAAACCCCATAGCTAAGCTTCCCAGGGCCTCAGTGAGCAAGAATTTAACCTAAGGATTTATTGTTGGCAGAAAACAAACTTTCTAGAAGGCCAGACTTTCATTTTTCCCATTCCTCATTCTCAGGCTTGAGAAAACTTGGAGCATTAGTATTTCTTATACTTTGCCTTGGGTGAATTATGTGTCCAAAGCATTTGACTTTAAAATGTGGCACTTAGATAAATGCCTGTGAGTGCCCACAGTGTACACCATGTGCCTGAAGGAGGTTGGCCCTGGTCTAAGTGTCAGTCTTTCTCATGAGTGATGCTCCTCAAGCAGAATTCCGTCCTGCAAACCATTCTGCAGTGGGTGGTGTCAGGGACATGAGGCTCATTAGTTACCCGTTAGGTGATTCATTGTATCTATGGGTGTTTACTGCCAGCTGGAATGTAACGGGAAGGATACCTATCAACTGGGGACTTAGACATCCGCCGGGTGAGGCCTGGAGATCCCTTTTTGCTCTTCACAAGGTACTTGTACTTTGGATTTTGCTTAATCCAATTCTTCAAAGCTTCACAGGCATCCTGCTGATGGCCAGTGTTAGTATAACTCACGGCCAAAGCCATCAGTGCTTTTAAGTTGTTGGGCTGCAATTCTAAGCACCTGAAAAAAAAAAGCCAATTTCAGATTTTTTTTTAGTTCTAACAGTTCTTTAGAAAATGTGGGGTCTTTATTAACTAAATACTGCAAAAGCATAGTGAAGCTTGTTATGTCAAGTCCTTGGAAAGCACCGTATTTATCCACATAAAAACAGGGACCTCAGCATATTTTTAAGACAGTTAAAACTTACCCTAATGACTGCTAGGTTTGGTAATTTTAATAAGGGGCTTTAACCATGTTGCTTATCCCTGCACATGATTTGTTAGTGGTTAATCTAATAAGATCTAATGAGAAGTAGGGGATATCATTATTTTAATGCTGCTGTCTCTTTTTTCAAAAAATGGAATCTCACTCTGTCCCTGAAGCTGGAATGCAGTGGTGTGATCTCGGCTCACTGCAAGCTCTGCCTCCCGGCCTCAAGTGATTCTCCTGCCTCAGCCTCCTGAATAGCTGGGATTACAGACACCCACCACACCCAGCTAATTTTGTATTTTTTGTAGAGACAGGGTTTCACCATGTTGGCCAGGCTGGTCTTGAGCTCCTGACCTCAAGTGATCCACCCACCTCGGCCTCCCAAAGTACTGGGATTACAGGTGTGAGCCACCGCACCTGGCCTTTACTATCAATATATTAAATGTATACATTTAATGTATAAATGTTCTTTTATATTTATATATTAAATGTATAAATGTGTATATTTATACATTTAATACATAATAATGTATAAATATATACATACAAACATATACATATAACATGGGATATATGTGTGTGTATATGTATACACACACATGAAAGGTACTGATATATTTATACATTTAATATATAAATATAAAAGAGAACTGACTTGAATGTAGACATCTAGAGATGAAAGATTGTGCAGTGTTTTGCAAAGGAGAGGGAAATCCTTGCGTTTTCAGAACTGCCAATGTGGGTTTACAGGAGACAATGGCAAAGCCACTCCCCCCCATTCGATTCCATTGGACTTTAGCATGGGATTTCCAAATTGAAGTGCATGCAGATCGTCTGGGGCTCTCATAAAATCTGTGTTCTGATGCAGTAGGCCTGCTGAGGTGGTTGACAGGTTCTCAGGTGAAGATGCGGTCTCTGGATAAGGCTTTGAGTAGCAAGCCCTAGACAGTACCTAATGCTGCTCTGTGGTGAGCCTCATCTCCCAGAAACTTAGCAGCGCTGGGTAGAGAGGTTCCTAAGGCTGGATGCGCATCACAAACACGTGGTGAGTTTTGAAAATGATTGCTGCCTGGTTCCCAGCCCTGATCAATTAAATGATAATCTCTGGACTGTGCTTGGGCATCATTTTCCCCTCTAAATGATTCTAATGTGCATGTGTATACAGGGGTAAGAACCACTGACTCAGAGCTCCAGGTCTGGAGATGAGGGTATACATTCTGTCTCTGTTACATACCCTCTGTGTGGCCTTGACCTTCCTGATCCCCAATTCTCTCATCTGTAGGAAAAGGCTCTGAAGGCAGGGCCATACCCCAGGCACCATTACCTCATCAGATACCAGCAGAATCTTGAAATCTAGGTTTCCAAGACTGTAAAGCCCTAGAATTTCAAGAGTCTAGAATTCTTACAATCTAAGATTCCAAAGCTATAGGATTTATACACATACATTATGTATGTACATCCATACAAACATATACATATAACCTATGGTATGTGTGTGTATGTATACATATATATGTATGTATACACACACATATATTCTCTTCCTATAGCACTATATTAAAGGTACTTACAAGAAAAGGTAGGGAAAGGGGAAGTCTGTTTGGTAGAGGCTGCTTTTCCAGGGTTTACATAAAAGCTCTAATCAAGTAGGGTGTAATATTACACACACCCTCTCTTCCCATCCCTCCTTTCCCAACGTCATCCAGACCATTAGTCAGTATTCCACTTCTGTTTTTTTTGAAGAATATTTTCAGATGTTTCAGAAGGCTAAAAAGTTACAAGAAACTATTCAGTGGGTCTGCTTTATGACTGGGCTTAACACAGGCTTTCTCTGGTCCCAGTCAGTGTCCACTGGTTTGTAGATAGCAAGACATGGTTAGGAACGTTATTTCACTACAAGTTGTTTTTCAGAGCTACGTGTGAGTCATATGCAGCATCTCAGCACTTGTCTTGGCTAAATTCTTTATACTGTACTGCAGTAAAGATCAAAAGACAAATCTGAAACAGGAAGTCCATCAACAAGCATCCACCAGACCCTTGATTTTGCACTTTGCTTCACTTACCTCTGGAGGGCGACAATCGCTGCTTGTTCATTTTCATTCTCTGCCTGGGTTATCCCCAGGAACTGCCATGCCTGGGAAAGACAACTGATGTTAATATTGCAAGGTGAAGCAGGATTACTAACGGGCTTCGGCTGGTTTGTTTACCTGGGATGGATCCCCTATGCAGAGCAACCTGTCTCAGATGTGAGGGCCGCATAAAAGGGGGACATATCACATGCATTTCTTCATTCAAACTCTCTTGTGACATCTGGGTCAAAATCCTTCGTCATTAGTTCAAAACCCGTTCAGTTTTTATCCTTTCCTATAACCCAGTGCGATGGAAGCCTCTGAATTTCTGAGATTTATTATATTAGGTATTTTAAAACCAAAAGATAAATATATAAAATTGTACAATTATGAGGAAAAGGGGTGGAAAAATAGCCCAGAAACGTAGCTAAATAAAGTTTACAATAAGGAATCTCAAGATGTACAATATGAACTTCGCTTGTATGAATGAAAGTCAAACAGTTACTAGAAAAATTCACAGGCGATTCAGGAACTAGGAAAAGCAAAACAAAACAAATTCTTCTACGATGTGTTCATTCCTCTAATGTAATCTCTGTTAAAACACACAAAACACACATTACACAATCATAAGGTAGACATAATTTTATAGTCTAAATTTACACATTTCATTGTACCTTAAGCCCCTTTTCATGTTTCAAAATCCTCATAATTTTTAATTTGGATTTTGTTGAATGGATATTTGATTATTGACCCAACAATGTCCTTATTGCTCTAAGTTGGTTGAAATCATTTGCTACTGTAAATAATATGAAGAACATCTTCAAGCAGATAGCTTATGTTTTTACATCTAAAGTTTTTAATATAGCAAATTTTCTCTATATGATCATAAGAACAATAACTGTCATACTTTTGTTAGAGTAATACACACAAGCAAAAGTCTCTCATTATCCTCATTAATCTCATTGTCCTCACATTTGCTGGGGGTGGAGATATATTAGGGTTGTAGGGATTTAAAAATGTTTGGGGAGTGTGTAACTCTGCCTCCCAAGGCTGGGAGAGTTATACACTCCCTAAACATTTTTACACACTCCCTTAATGCCATTTTAAAACAAACCTCTAGGAAAGCACAGTTATCTTAAAGTGCCATTTGAATGGTTTTGGCCTTTCCCCTTATGGGTTATTATTGGATATATTTTATAAACTCATAAAAATACTGATTATGCTCCCCCTCCAAATATCCTTGATTCTTTAAAATCTCTTAAACGTACATACAGCAACCTCTATTTTGATTTCACCTTCCATGTATCTGAGAATGCTTCTTAAGAAAAGGTTGATGAAATCGCCTTTCTCTGGGGGCATTTTTCCAGCCTGTGGCCATGGTGTCATTCTCACTGTGTGCAGTGTTATTATCTCAGCTTGAAGGTCTCCATCGATTCAGAAGCCCTGGGTCCTTGTCTGGGGTTTGTTAGTTATCACAGGCTCTCATTTTCTCATTTATAATCTGAGATCATAATATGTCATTAAGAGAATCTGCCAGGGCCCTTATGTCAAATAATATATATTTGAAAACACCTTGTAAAACACTTAGCAGTTACAAATGTAAGATGGCATTACTATTTTTAGGGGGTGGCCTATAGTTTCATAGTAGGGTCATAATTTCCTCTTCTACAATGAGCATATGTCTTTATTTTATTTTTGAGACAGGGTGTTGCTCTGTCACTCAGACTGGAGTGCAGTGGCATGATCTGGGCTCACTGCAACCTCCGCCTCCCAGGTTCAAGCAATTCTCCCACCTCACCCTCCTGAGTAGCTGAGATTACAGGCACAAGCCATTCACCCCGCGAATTTTGTTTTGTATTTTTAGTAGACACAGGGTCCCTTCATGTTGGCTAGGCTGGTCTTGAACTCCTGGCCTGAAGTAACCCCCCTGCCTTGGCCTCCCAAAGTGCTAGGATTACAGGCATGAGCCACCACGCTCAGCCTATCTTTTAAAGATTCTAATATTTTGGTTCAGAATTTCAGCTTTCAGTTCAATCCCATTTCACTGTAAACCTTTTGACTAACAAGATATTACAAGATTTAACTAGTGACCATTTTATTCATTCTTCCTATATCAAGTACAACCAATGATAACAATGAAGGTGAATATTGATGAGCCAGGCACTGAGCTGAGTACTTTCTTTGTGTGAACTGATTTCATCCTCGCAACACCCAGTGAGACAGTTACTATTAGGATTTCCACGTTACAGATGAGGAAACTGAAGCTTAGAGTGTTTAAATGACTTGCCCTGGGTTCCACTGCTAACAGGTAGAACAGGGATTGGAACCTATGCAGCTGGGGCAGCACGGCCTGGGCGCTTAACCACTATTCTACATTGTATTCTCAGCACCAACATATATACCTGTGCCTACAGTTTCTGCAGATTCCCTTGGAAACATTCCTTATATGATGATTCCCGAAAATTACAAACGAAAGAAGAAAGCATCACACTACCACTATCTTAGGACGGGCCTTTGCAGGTTTAGGAATCCAGTGGATGCAGACTGCAGAAGCTTCCTGCTGCTCTCCCAGTCTCTGTCTCACCAATCTTCTCATCTCCGAGAATGGGGTTTTTCTAACAAGCAATCCGTTGGTACACCTTTCCTGAGTACAGGCCCCAGTGCTTTCCCACAGCCTTCAGATGAACTTCAAATCCTTGCCTATCTCTCTACCATTCTCCCTCCCCTCTTCCACTTAACACGATGCTTCACACCCCTCTGCCTCCCCACGCAGCATTCGCTGGACACGAAAACGTGACTCCTCTACTGCCTTCCAGTCCTGCCCCACGCTGGCCCCACTTGTGCAGACAGGCTGGATGTTTCTAGTCTCCCAGCACCGTGTGCACACGTGGACACTGCATTTATCACACGACATTGATGTTTCCACTTGTCTTCCCAGATAGACCGTAAACATGTTTTCCAACTGATAACTTTTCCCAGTTTTTCAGTATTTTGAGCCAGGACCTGGCATAATGTTTGGGACATAGCATGTGTTTAATAAATGAGGAGTGAGTAAACCAAGGGTGACGTACGGTGTGACACAAGAACCAGACATCACGATACACTGTCCCTTGAAAACAACCGCCAGGCGCAGTGGCTCATGCCTGTCATCCCAGCACTTTGGGAGGCCCGGGGCGAGTGGATCACCTGAGGTCAGTAGTTTGAGACCAGTCTGATCAACATGGTGAAACCCCATCTCTACTAAACATACAAAAATTAGCTGGGCATGGTGGTGGGCGCCTTTAATCCCAGCTACTTGGGAGGCTGAGGCAGGCAAATCGCTTGAACCTGGCAGGTAGAGGTTGCAGTGAGCTGAGACTGCGCCACTGCCCCCCAGTCTGGGTGACAGAGCAAGACGCTGTCTCAAAAAAAGGAAACTGCTGATGAGCCTCCAGGTTGGTGATCCTGATTTTTTGTTTCCTGTCCCCAACCTTTATTTATGGGCACTATCAACACTGCCGATTAGAAGTTAGGTTAGAAAGCAGGTGCCTGTTGGTAACTTTCAAACAAGTAGGCTAAGCTAGATTAACTCCTCTGGGAAGCTTTACTTGATGGAAAGGCAGAGTTCGGTTTTCTCTGTCCCTTGTTGGCACACGCCCTTTCTGAGTCTGGCAGAATGAAGGGAGAACGATACCTCTGCGTCGCCAGGGTCCTGAAGAATTGCTGCTTCCATGAACAGGATGGTGACTGGCAGGTCCCCTTCCTTCAGCCTTTTTAAGCCTTCTTCAAATGCTCCAGGCCAGTCCTTGAAGGGGTTTTCAGTGTGAAAGTAATATCCCTGCAACACAGAGACAGACCAGTGCGCAAGCCATTGATTTCTCTTTTCATTGTTACATCCAGTAAGAATGTAAATTAAAAAGTCAGGAAACAACAGATGCTGGAGAGGATGTGGAGAAATAGGAACGCTTTTACACTGTTGGTGGAGTGTAAATTAGTTCAGCCATGGTGGAAGACCGTGTGGCGATTCCTCAAGGACCTAGAAATAGAAATTCCATTTGACCCAGCAATCCCATTACTGGGTACATACCCAGAGGATTATAAATCATTCTACTATAAATACACATGCACACTTATGTTTATAGCGGCATGGTTCACAATAGCAAAGACTTGGAGCCAACCCAAATGCCCATCAAAGATAGACTGGATAAAGAAAATGTGGCACACATATACCAAGGAGTACGATGTCAGCATAAAAAAGGATGAGTTCATCTCCTTTGCAGGGACATGGATGAAGCTGGAAGCCATCATTCTCAGCAAACTGACACAGGAACAGAAAACCAAATACCGCATGTTCTCACTCATTAGTGGGAGTTGAACAATGAGAACACATGGACACAGGGAGGGGAACATCACACACTGGGGCCATTAGGGGGATGGGGGGGCTAGGGGAGAGGCAGCATTAGGAGAAATACCTAATGTAGACGATGGGTTGATGGGTGCAGCACATATATACCTATGTAACAAACCTGCACGTTCTGCACATGGACCCCAGAACTTAAAGTATAATAAAAAATTTAAATTAAATATTTATTCTGATTTTTAAATTGAACATTTTAAATTTCTGCTTTTCCTTATTATGAATATAGCACACTTTCATTGTATAAAGTTTAGATAAGACAATACAACAAGATACAAAAAGAATGACAGGTATACAATGCCAACTGCTAGTATGTTTGAGTTTGCTTTCTTCTGATATTTTTTGTTCTTTTTGTTTTAACAATTCCCCCTCATGATTTTAAAGCACTGACTCTTTAGACACGTTTTTGCTGAGTGCTCCCACCCATCCCCCGAAATACGAGTCCCACATGCTGTATCTGTTTACCTCCTACGGCCCTTTGGGGAGCTACAGACCACTGTCACAGCTGAGAGCTTTTGCCTTCACCCTGGACCAGTTTCTGCCTGTTGGGGGCTGTATTGCCCCTGTTGAGAATGCATGTTTTAAAGTTAAATGTTTTTGTAACTGCAAAAATTTAAAGAATACAGAATGTACACATAATTGTCTGGTATTTTCTATGAGTATATAAATTAAACAAATAGGCACATATTACATACACAGTCTTAACAGCTTAGGCCTCACTTAGATCTATATTGTGATTATTTCTCTGTTATTAAAATTATTCCTATGGATATATATATTTATTTACTCAATTCCCTATTGATAAACATTCAGGTTATTTTAAATTTTTTATCATAAATAAAACTATGGTGCACAAATCTTTGACTGAATTTACTTATTACCTTAGGGTAGACTCCCAGAGGGATTTATTAGGTTAAAGGTTATGAGCTGTTTTTAAGCCCTTGATATGTGTAGCTAAATTGTTTTTGAAAAAATGTGTCCCCCTTAAACTCTCATCTGACGTATCTAAGAGATGTTATTTGCTGCAGTTTTACTTGCATAGATTATCATAAAATCCTTTAAATTTGATAGATACAAATAAGCTAGTGTGTTAATGATGTCACTAAGGTTTAAAAGTAGATCAAGTGGAGGCCTTCAGTCTCCACAGGTGCTAAGAAAGACAAAATCCATGATCAAAAGCCACAGGGTCTGAGGGCTTATGTGGGGTTAGTGTGGTTATGGGGTTCATAAGTGCCACAGACCTTGGGAGCACGAATGACAGCCCAGAGTCTGATAATCTGAATCAATGTCCTGTGTTCGCACTTAGCTTTGTTTCCTTGTGGAAAAGAGAGTTACTTTTAATGAGATGGTTGTTCTAATTTTATGAGATTACCTGGCCTATTGAGGGACAGAGTATTTGGAGGAGAGAGACATTTTAATGGCCATGTAGATTGCAGATCGACTAAAATCAGACTATTCCTTACCACATCCCTAGTACTTAGTGTAAGAGTAAATGCTCAATAGATATTTGTTGTATTAGCAAAATATCATAAAAGTTGCCCAGAACTGAATATTACTGAGACGTCCTCCACCACAAAATAATAATACATACTTATCTAAATACAGTTTTTCTTTTTCTAAATTTATTTTTAATTTTTGTGGGTACCTAGAGGGTATATGTATTTATGGGTACATGAGATATTTTGATACAGGCATACAGGCCTGCACATATGTGATATGCGTAACAGTCACATCAGCATAAATGGGATATCATCACCTCAGGCGTTTATCCTTTTTATGTGTTATGAACAAGCCAGTTATACTCTTTTAGTTATTTTAAAATGTACAATAAACTATTGTTGACTGTGGTCACCCCATTGTGCTGTAAAATACTAGGTTTTATTCATTCTATATAACTGTATTTTAAAAGCACTGACTCTTTAGACACGTTTCATCATTAGCCGTCCCCCGCTCCCTCCCCGCCCCCTACCCATTACCCTCCCCAGCCTCCAGTGACCATCATTACCCCTCTATCTCCATGAGTTCAACTGTTTTCATGTTAGCTGCCACAGACAAGTGAAAACATGTGAAGTCTGTCTTTCTGTGCCTAGCTTATTTTACTTGAAGTGATGACCTCCAGTTCCATCGCTTTGTTATCAATGACAGGGTGCCGTTCTTTTCTATGGCTGAATGTGACACTATTGTGTATGTGTACCACATTTTCTTTTCCTTTTTCTTTCTTTTCTTTTTTTGTAGACAGGATCTCATTCTCAGCTCACTGCAGCCTTGACCTCCTCGGGTTGAAGTGATCCTCCCGCCTCAGCCTCCTTGAGTAGCTGGGGACTACAGGTATGTGCCACTATGCCCAGCTAATTTCTTTTCTGTTTCCTTTCTTGTTTATTTATTTATTTTTTTCAGTAGAGACAGGGTCTCACTCTGTTGTTCAGGTTCACATTGCTTTTATCCATTTGTCTGCTGATGGACACCTAGGTAGCTTCTATATCTTGGGTATTGTGATACATACTTTTTCTACGTAAGAAAATTCCACATCTTTCTTCAAGTTATTTATACTTATTCCTTAGTGTTATCCCCAACCCCACGAAGTGCTTTTAAACACATAAATCCTAGAGCAGCTGGGACTTCAGGAGTGGTTTGGCTGGTTGATCACTGTCCTTGTGCACTAATGGGGTCCTATCGGGGAGTATCTCTAAGGAATGCTCTGGGGACTTGACCTGGTTGAAAGAGAGTCTTCTCCATAGAGTTTGATGCAAGCTGTTTAATGACCACCTGTGAAATACAACCCAGTCTCCACTCCACTCCCATACAGCCCAGTCTGCACTCCACTCCGGTGCACTGTATAATGACCACCTGTGAAATACGGACCAGTCTCCACTCCACTCCCATACAGCCCAGTCTGCACTCCACTCCCATACAGCCCAGTCTGCACTCCACTCCCGTGCACTGTATAATGACCACCTGCGAAATATGGACCAGTCTCCACTCCACTTCCATGCACTGTATAGTGACCAGCTATAAAATACAGCCCAGTCTCCACTCCACTCCCATGTCACTGGTATCACTTCCGTTGTTGGCGTATCAACAGGGCTCACATGACTGGCTCAGAGAGTAGCCCAATTGTTGCTCTAAGCCACCCTCAATGTCAGCTAGTTCAGGAACTGGCTAGCCAGCAGGAGCCAAGCTCTGGTTGGCTCCCAAACTGTCTGAACACTGATAAAAATAAGAAAATTTCATTCTAACTTGGCTTCCTTCATGCATTGTCTCATTCTATCAGAATTTCTTCTAGGTCACAGTGACATTAAATTGTCTTTTTAATTCCTGTGTTTTTGACAAAATAGCTATTGACTAACTCTATAAAATATGATCTAAAAAGCTAGAGAAAACTAGTCAGCATGTATAGAAACAGCACTGGTACCTTCTCACTAGCCGAGATGGTTACTTGGTTCTGAGCTTCTTGGTTCTCAGATATCCAGTTCCTCCGCGCCATTTCTTCCCATTCTGCTTGCATCTTATCCCAAAACTCTGTATCTGACTGGGAGACAGGAAAAATGAACAGAGACCGATTTAAGAACATGCCATATCATCTGTTTTTTTCCCTAATAGATAAAAGAGGCTTCTGAGGAGGAATAAAATGGTGACATCCAGTTGATATGCATGGCTGAAGAGCTTCTGGGGTGTGCTCCCTGGTCAGAGCATTGCGGTGGATTAGCTGTGGCTTTCTCCAGCAGGAAAATAACTGCCATCAGAAAGACCAGGATCACAAATGCCAAATTCAGCTGGAAGCCCACGACTTACACACAGTTCCACGTGTGGGCACCAGGCCACATTTTAGGAAGAGCAGTCTGTCCCACAATTGCTCCTAGTGTGTGAGGAATTAACGTGACTGCTTTGGGCCTGGCCGAGCAGTGACTTGGGAAGACATCCAGGTATGGACACAAGAACGAAACAGGACCTGATCCTTCTCCCTGTCAAGCACTGTGCCGGCAGAAAACCGAGCCTGGAGGGCCACGGTCCCGAAGCTGCGACTCACGGGATCTGAATCCCATCTGCCTTCCAGACCTACATTTGTTGGCTTACGGCAAGCTTGGTCCACGGGTGCTAAAGAATGAGGGACCCTGGTGTGAGCCCGACTGATCCTCTTCAAGGACTTTTTTTTTTTTTTTTTTGAGATGGAGTCGCCCTCTGTCACCCAGGCTGGAGTGCAGTGGTGTGATCTCAGCTCACTGCAACCTCCACCTCCCGGGTTCAAGTAATTCTCCTGCCTCAGCCTCCCGAGTAGCTGGGACTACAGGTGTCCACCACCACGCTGGGCTAATTTTTTTGTATTTTTAATAGAGACGAGGTTTCACCATGTTGGCCAGGATGGTCTTGATCTCCTGACCTCATGACCTCCCACCTCAGCCTCTCAAAGTGCTGGGATTACAGGCATGAGCCACCGCGCCCGGTCCCTCTTCAGGGACTTTATGTGGCAGGATGAGTTTTTGAAAAACACTACTTTATGTTTTTGTTTCCTTCTCATTTTCCCACACATCTCTAAGAGAAATCAGGCCATTTGTTCTTTCCTTCAAGGGAGGTGTGCGTTCCTAGACTGAAGAAGATTTTTGCTGCAAGAGCTGTCCCTGGTGGGCCTCCATTTTATTAAGCCTGAAAAGAGTACTTTAGGTGGCCCAAGGGGCAGGAGGAAGGAGCAAGCATCTTAAAGAATTTAAGAGATACAGGGCCTGGGAATGGTGGCTCACGCCTGTAATCTCAGCACTCTGGGAGGCTGAGGTGAGCAGATCACCAGGTCAGGAGATCAAGACCATCCTGGCTAACATGGTGAAACCCATCTCTACTAAAAATACAAAAATTAGCTGGGTGTGGTGGTGGGCACCTGTAGGCCCAGGTACTCAGGAGGCTGAGGCAGGAGAATCATTTGAATGCAGGAGGACGAGGTTGCAGTGAGCTGAGATCATGCCACTGCATTACAGCCTGGGCGACAGAGGGAGACTCCATCTGAGAGACAGAGACAGAGACAGAGAGAGAGAGAGAGAGAGAGAGAGAGAGAGAAAGAGAGGGAGAGAGAGAATTTTCTGGGATTAGGGAAAGAGATGGAGGGTGGCAGGTTCTGAGGAGTGGGAGGCTGGTGTTTAGTTTTAGCTATTTCCCAGGCAAACCAGCCTGCTATCAGAGAGGATGCCCGACGGTGTGACAAACAGGGCACACCTGAACCCCTGTTCCACATGGCTGGGAAACAGAGAATGAAATTCAAGGAACCACTTTGGACTTGGATGGCTGTTAGTGGTCACCATGACAGGTGGCAGGGGTGGTGGGGAGACTTGGTCTTTGTTTTCTGACACTACATAAGCCTTCCATATTTCATGCCCTAGACAAAGTTCCCTGCCAGCCTGGTAACAGAGACACTTGGAAATCGCTTAATTTTCTTAAGCAAATAAAATAATGAGCATTCCTAGAACACCTGAATCTGGGACTGAAATTCATACTCTTTACAAATTGCACGCCTCTGTTTCTACGGTTTGAAGGCCTGTGACTTGCTGATACACCGTCGTACTGACTTGAGGTCCACCTTCCCCTTTGAGCCCTTCTGGTCTGCCTGGGCAGTGGTTGTCCTGAAGTGAGAGCCCTTCTTCTGAGTTGCTCTGAGTGGTAATTATAACCTTATTTCTTTTAGATATAAATGTTCATGGAACAAGAACCAGCTCAATATGATTATCCCAGGCTACCAAATAAACAGTAGGTCTTGCTCCTGCTTTATTATGTCCAGAATTCTCACTCCTCCCACAGAAACAGGCTCTGCCCCTTTTGCAAATGCCTCCTCTCAACAAGGCAGCAGGTATCTTGACAACTGATGCCCATGATGCTGGGAAGACATGGAACAGCTACTAGGTATCCAGGTTTGGCTCAAAAACAAAATTCAAAATTTCTTTTTTAAAGGCTTTTTCTAGTAGAATATCACATCGTGCAAACAGAATAATCTCAAATATACAACAGCAATGGCTAGGTAAAAGACTAGGAAGAAATATGCCACCATATTAATAGAAATGTGTCTTTGAATGAAGAAATAATGGGGGATGTTTTTCCTCCCTCTTCACACTTTTCCTGCTTTCTGAATTTTCTATGAGCATGCTTTGCTTTTATAATTAAAAAATAAGGTTAAACGCAACACAACAAAAATATCTTTTCTTTTTTTTAAATACCATGAAACCTCAATTATTAGATACTAACAAGTTTGGAAAAAATTTGGGGGGATTCATTTTTGAAATAGCTTTTCAAAGATGCAGGTTTAAGCTGTCTGCAGTAGAAAGGAAGACAGATCTACCAAGTGAGTTTTTATACTGTTTGCCGACTTCCCCAGACTCCCGCTGGCTGACCTGAGATGCCGGTGACTGCACGTACTTTCCAAGGCAAATACGTTTGTCTAGTGAGAGTCCTTGGAATTTAAAGCACATTACCAGCCTTCTGCATGAAAGAATGAGAAGGATTTAATGATGTGTACATCTGAGTTACCAAAGGATGCATTAGCTTTCTTGCAGCTTGAAATCAGAGCAGCAGATACACAGCTAAAGCTGCTGTGGAAAACAGACAGAACTCTCACTTAATGAGATACACCAGGACTCACTGTTACCACTTAAAATGAGTTACTGCTGACTAATTAAAGTGCACAGTACAGTTTTCATTTAATTACAGAGACTACCTTTCATATAAGCTATAAGTTTTCATCCAGTTGCAGAATCTGGACTTCATTCACATAGCTACAATGAATGCTCTTTCCTCCCACTATTTTAAATGAATTTTAGAGAAAGCTGAAACATTTCAGTTTTAAAGATATTAGACATAACTGAGGGGATTTCATTTATTGATGTTTTTCTTAGCTCTCCCGGGATTTTGGTAGATTGTTGTTTATACTCTGTACAACAAGCTACCTGCTTACATCAGAAATAAGCTGTTATTTGCCATCCATATCCATTTCTAAGAATAGCCCTCTGAGGATAAAATATAGTACATACTCACAAATGCACTAGGATATGCAACACGGTTGATGAGAACAGCGACTCTCCCCTTGGATGGGCCTGGGGTCAAATTCTTGTTCCATCATTGCCCTTTTGCAGATATCTTAATATTTCTTTTTTTTTTTGAGAGGAGTTTCGCTCTTGTTATCCAGGCTGGAGTGCAATGGTGCGATCTCGGCTCACCGCAGCCTCCACCGCCTGGGTTCAAGCAATTCTCCTGCCTCAGCCTCCCGAGTAGTTGGAACTACAGGCACGTGTCACCATGCCCAGCTAATTTTTGTATTTTTTTTTTAGTAGAGACGGGGTTTCACCTTGTTGACCAGAATGGTCTCGATCTCTTGACCTTGTGATCCACCCGCTTCAGCCTCCCAAAGTGCTGGGATTACAGGCGTGAGCCACCGCGCCCGGCCACCTTAATATTTCTAAGTCTCATTTTCTGTATCTTTAAAATGAAGATATGATAGCAATTTTGGTTAGTTGTTATGACAACTAAATGAGAAAATCCATTGAGAAAATGCAACTGTGGCATAAAGGACATGGTAGACGCTAAAAAAACTCAGCGTTCTTGCTAGTGTTTTCAAAGCATTGAGAAAAATACAGAGAATGAAACAAAAACCACCCACAATTGCAACGCTCAAATAAAAATGCTGTGAATAGTCTGGTGTTTTAACCTGCCGTAAAGACATATTATTCTTTTAGACACTTTCCTTCCCTTCATTTAAATCTTTCCCTTCTGCCTAATTATTCAAAAATAGGATCAAGGTTAAGAAAATTATGGCGAAGCCTCTATAATAGATTGTTATGCAGCAAATTAAAATGGTGTTTACGAGTAGTTTATTAAAATATTGAATAGTCCTAGAGTTATAATGTTTCTTGCTAAGTAGTATAATCACAATAATAGAAAACCAACCACAATAATGGTCTGGGGGGCAGGGGAGGCTGCAGAGAAAGGCACTGCAGAACTGCTCTTATGGGGTATCCCGTCCCTTTTTCTTGTACTTTTTACCATTTCCCAAATTTTCTATTGCTAGCATAAGTTATTTTGGTGGAAAAGTAAGATTTGGCTTAAAAAAATGCTTACTTCTTTTCAATTTCGGTTCCTCCATGAGGTTTTCTTCAACATTCCCGGACTAGAGCACTCTTTTGCCTCTGAATTCCTTCATCATTGATATTCTGTGTTAGTGGTTTGAAAGAAGATGTGTGCTAGAAGTTGAGCAAGTTGTTTTAACTCAGCTGTAAGTTATTTTACCTCGTTTGTAAAGTGAAAAGATTGCATTCATTAGACAGCAGTTCAGGGTTCTCTACATGGATTGACTCAGATCAGAATAAGGTGGAAGAAGGATCTCGGCACAGAATCACATTTTTTATTTTTGAAGGGGGCTTTTAGTCTATTTGCTAATCTCCAAAAATTATACTTTAAAATGTTTTCCCGAAAGTACATTGGACATTAATTTCCTTCGCTTTTTTGATTGTAAAACTGGAAAAGTTTTTTTTTTATAAGAACCAGGGCAATATTAATTAA